TAGTAACAAGAAGCTACCAGGAACAAGAAGCTACTAGGAACAAGTGCCTTACTAATAGTAACAAGAAGCTACTAGGAGCAAGAAGCTAGTAGAAACAATATTCTTTCCGAAGATAAGTCTTTCAAGTCCATCGCCAATCCATCCCGATCAGCACTGGCCCGATCCACACCTGTGGCTATGCCTCAACTCACGGAGGTGATGCCCGAAGTGTTTGGGCATAGCCTGCAAAGAGCAGCTGCAGAGTGGCGAAGAGCACATCTCTGATCTCTTCGTTTCACATGGTTTCACACTTAGCTCAAGTGCTTGTGTTCCCAGCCTCAAGTTTCCATGAGGCACATCAGCAAGCTACCCAAGAACAGGCTCAAATCTCTAAGCAGGTTCTTCTTGCCATGCGGCCACAATCTTTTGAGCATCTCGGGATGTTGGCAACTGTATTTTTAAATTGTCTCAAACCCTTTCACTCAGAACATCTTGCGTGAGGCTACATTCATCAAATCTCCTTTTGAGTGAAACGGCACTTGGCACGACACGTCAGCTATCAGCAGTCTTCCTGCAGCTTTTTGACGATGAATCGTCGAACAACGACAGATTGCGAACACGTCAACGTGAACACAACAGCACACAGGAACATAGCAGCGCTGTGGTTCAGCGCAGGTTGGTACTAGGGATTCGAAATAAACTCAACCCCTAGTAGCGTCCTTGCTCCTAGTAGCGCTTCCAGGAGCCCTACTAGCGTCCTTGCTCCTAGTAGCGATGCCAGGATCACTCGCCGCAGATGAACGGTGCTTGATGCTTTGGCCTCTCTATCTCCCACCTCTTACACCTTTTGCCCTTTTGCTTTCGAGCCAAACCTGCACTTCTGCCTGCAAGTTGTGAAGCGATTGTGAGAAAGGCGACAAAAGAAAGAAACAAACCAAAGATTGGGGTTGACTTTGGAGGCCTTGTGCCATAAAAACCCCTGAACACCCTCCAACTTGCGCAGCCCTCAACCAAATATATACAGGCACAGCAATAATTCCATGCTGTGCGCAAAGTGCACAAAGAATCCACATATTGAGCAAAAGCATTCATCGCTGTGTCCATGTTGCGCAATGCGTCACACCATTTCGCGCAAGGCCGCAAACGCTTCCAGAGGGTAGTTTACCTGGCCATCACGTCCTGCAATTGAGACGAGATCGAAACGAGCTCAGAAGACCTCTTAGCAAAGCCGAAAGATCATGCTGAGTAGACTTTGGAGCACGCTGATCGCCACTCTTTGTATTTTATGAACCGTCCCCTGATCCCATCACATTGCTAGTCCAGCACTTGTTTTGCAATCGAGATCATGATGGCTCTTCCAAGAAACTGAGCGGCCCCTCAAGAGCTTATCCAATTTGCTCTTTGGGGTCTGGGATCTATGTTGATTGCATTGCGTCGCAAATGACCAACAATTATCTGCCGTGCTTTCTATTTTAAGAGCCATGAGCAAGGGTTCAGCCACACACACATCATTAGGTGCAAAAAGGAATTAGAAAAAGATGCAAAAAAAACAATATACTACTTCAAAATGTCAGCTTCTTTGGTCACACATGATTGTGAAAAGGACAGAAACGTAGACCCCGTGATGAGCAAAACACGGCCCTCCAAGGGTTTGGCACCGAATGACCTGAAGCAAAAGGACTAGTAACAAGTGCCACGCTAGGAACAAGTGCATCGCTTCTAGTAACAAGTGCCTTACTAGTAGTAACAAGGACGCTTCTAATAGCAAACATTGTTACTAGTAGTGAGGCACTTGTTACTAGTAGTAACAATGTTTGCGAACGTTGAAAGAATGAGCTTTTAGAAGTGTGAAAATGACTCTCTTCTGCTTCTGCTTTCTGCTGCGTCTCGTTGCTTCCACGGCTCACAAAGAACGATTTTAACACGACCACCAACATTATCCCAGACCGCTCCTGAGCATGTCCAGGGCCTCGTTCAAGCACTTTCTTGTTCCATCTCGAGGGCCATAGCAAGAGCGGTTTGTTCCGCTTCTTCCTTTCAGAGCAGAAAGAATAGCTTCCTTGTGTCAGAGAAAAACCCTTTCTTTGTCTAGCGTGGCTAGTAGGTTGGAGTCCATCGCTAGTAGTTAAGTTTCAAAAACATCAAGGAACCAAATCATTAGTGCGAGCGCTTCTTCAAGGAAGCTTCCCCCGCCGCCCTGTCGGGGGAGTTTCCTTGAAGAAGCGCAAGCTATCCTGCGTCCATACTAGCAGCTTAAATAAACTACTAGCTACCTAGCTACTAGCTACCTCTCTAGCTACTACCTCTACACGGCCTATTGGAGCCTTAGACTGTCCTCGAGGAAAGTTGGGTCCACGGCCGATCCAAAGCATGGGCGCTGTGAACTCTCGCTTTTGTCGCCTTCCTCTTTCGTGAAAGTTCCAATTCGTCTTTCTTCAGTTCCAATTGGTGCAAGTTCGCCTTCAGACTCACAGACAGGATCTTCGTTTTTCAGATCCACACCCTGCAAGACCTGCAGAGCTCGCGCAGTACCATGTGCTTCACAAATGTCCGCTGCACCTGTTGGGTTGGCACGTTGGTCCAGCAAAAGCCGAATCACGCCAACAGCATCACAACGACACGCCAATTGGAGTGGACTCAAGCCATCAGGGCCTGAGGCCTCCAGGTTGGCATTTTGCCTCACAACGAATCAGAACCGCAGCCTTTTCACATTGAAAAAGTGCCACTAAGGAAAGTGAAGTGCCCGTAAGCATGCTTAGAGGTCGTTTCGGGAAATGTCCTTGTAGGCTTTCGTCGCATTGTTTGTGATGAAGAGAAAACCGGAATTGTTTCAAGTAGGTTTTCCATGCACAGCCTCTTGGAAGGTTTTGGAATCCTGCCCTTGGGATGATTTTTATGAAGCACCTTCTCCTTCTTCTACTGCACAAATGGCAGTAAAATGTCAGGTGAAGACAAGTGTCCGGAGGAGGTACGCAACTGCTTCTTCCTGATCTGTGATCACAGCGGCATGCAGGGGACGGCAACCGTCTTTTGGGTCAGCTTCTTCGATGTCCTCGCCATCCCTCCTTTGCATCAACTGTCTACATGATGTTCTTATGCTATGTGGTTTATATGTTCTTTATTGTTCTTGTGCTTCTAGGTTGGAGGCCATCGCTAGGTAGGTTGGAGGCCATTGCTTCTAGGTTATGAAGACATCATTGGAAAAAATATGTCGTAAGTCAGCAGAGTTACAGGCCATCCATCAAGTCATGGACGTTTCCAAAATAGGCCTGGGAAAAACCGCTAACACAGAAAACGATGTGATGTCAATGCTCAAAACAGTCTGCCATATGCAAATACAACACATCGTCAAAGAGAACTGAGAAAAACGCTTGAGAACACACTACAAGTAGCTACAAGGAACAAGAAGCTACTAGGGGCTCCTGGCATCGCTACTAGGAGCAAGGACGCTACAAATCTTTGTGACTCGAGGAAAAACGCTACTGCGGAATCTCGGGACTCGTCATTTGGAGACCGCGACGAATCAACCACGCAAAAGAGCTATGTTCAAACATGTCAGACATGGCTTCAACTATGTTCAAAAGTTGTATTTAAAACTGTGAAATCCACTTCACCCGTTGATCTCATTTTCGACAGGTGCACAAATCAAGAAGTGTACCGCTTTGACACGCTTTTGGCTCAAGAAAACGTCCGACGAACTGGACACGCGCTTTGTCATAACCACAGGTTATGAGCCCAAGGTGATTTTCATTTTCGAAGTCCACCTCCGACTGTTTCGTGGACAGCGGAGTGTTGGTCCCCATGGAGCAGCACCGACGACGGCGCCTCAGGTCCCGAGAGGGCAGAGATCAGCGACCTGGACCGGGTGAAGGCGAGCTGGAGATAGGGGAAGCCGATCGGAGGCTGAACCAGCTCCTGACGGAGCATCGACGGTCGCAGAGGGCATCTTCGGCACCAACCCCGGGGCATCCTGGAATTCGACGAGTACAAGGTGGGGGACAAGGAGAAGGGCGAGGAGATCAAGATCAGGGTGGTCAAGATGGCTCGAGCGGGGGACAGCTTCCCTCGCTGGCAGGGCCTGGAGGGCCACATGTCACCTTTGAAGGCGATGGGATTGCTGGAGGACTGTTCGGGGCGCTTCAAGATCCTCGAGCTGGACAGATGGGTCTGGGACGACTTCAGGACACTGTTCGGCATGGTCTGGAAGCATTGCATTTCGCCCTTCAAAAGGGGACAACGTGCACCAGGTCTACAACGTGCACCAGGTCTACAACGTGCACCAGGTCTACTTGATCCTCTTCTTCGACCCCACGATCAGGGACATCCTGGAGTACCACTTCCTGGAGCTGGACAACTACCTGTATCGCCTCACACCGATGGGAGCTACGGGTGGGAGTGGACGAACCGGGATCTTTACCCCGCCGGAGGCTGGAGCAGGGAGTGTGGGTGGTCAGGTGTATCCGAGAACACTGGAACCCTATGCTTCACGGGGAGCGGATGTGAACCCCTTCTGGAGTGCTCCGAGGGAACGGGCGGTTGGAGATGGTGAACTTCCTCAACCGGAACCTGGTTTGGGAGTTAATGAAGTTGAGAAGATTCGCTTGAGGATTCTCAAGGAGGCGGAGGCGAACTTTGCCGAGGAGATCAAGCGGCTTTGCGGAAGATGCGTCATCTTATGCCTCAGCAGCCAGTGCAGCGGCAGCGGACCAGGCGAAGAAGGAGGCCGGGGTGAGCATGGGAGAGACTGGAGGAGGCCCAGGTCCGCCAGGTGATGGGGGAGGGGTAGAACGGCCTCCAGGACTTCCAGCAGATCGACCAGAACAAACTGGATTGACTATACCGGAGGCGGTTCGGTCCTTGGAGTTGCCGGCTTTGCCAAGCCCGAGCAGCGGGGATGCCTCCATCCAATTTGGGGACTGGCTGACGGCCTTGATGTCCGATTTGAGCAGCAGTGCGCAACAGTGGTGGGATCAGGCGATCAAGGAGGCTGAGCTTCTCTATGACAAGTGGTTGAGTTCCTCGCCGCTTATGAGGCTTTGCATCAAGTCTGAGCTCCCAGTCCCGGAGAAGTTCAAGAGAGTCGAACAGAAGCGCATCTCAATGTTGTTGGCAGCGCTGCCCTCTGACATCCGGAGAGATGTGATCACAGCTAGGCAGGTCTCGGTGGTGTCAGTGCTCTTCAAGCTGTGGACAGTGTATCAGCCGGGGGCCGGGAGCAGCTGAGCGAACTTCGATATTGAGATCGTTGACTGAAATGAAGGTGGGCTCAAATGCGACGGATCTTCTTCAGGCCCTGAGGACCTGGCGACGACTGTTGGGTCGCGCAGAGGAGATCAAGGTGGCGATTCCGGATCCCTTGGTTCTGATGTCAGTGCTGGGAAAGGCCTCGGAAGGACTCATCAAGGTGGGAGGTCATCACAAGCTTCCTACAGGATTTCGAGTGTTCGCCAAGAGCTGAGGGTACCATCAACCAGGTCTACATCAGATCAGGGACTTTGCGGAGTACCTACAAGCGGAAGCTGAGGATCAGGCATTGATTGCGCAAAGTCTCAGGCACCTTTGACCTCCAGTAGCGCTCAGGTGGCCCCGGCGGTGAAGGCGGTGGCATCAGCGGCTACGGGGGAGGACAAGGAAAGGAAGGCACCATGTCGGTATTGGGGCACGGCAACAGGTTGCAAGAGGGCGGATGGTTGCTCGTTTGCACACTCTTGGGACCAACTGGAAAAGAATGGAAGATGCTTTGTGTGCTCTGGACAGGGGCATATGTCCAGGGAGTGCCCTTACCGGAAGGAGAAACCTGGCAAGGACGCAAAGAAGACGGCGAAGGTGAAGGGCGCGGTCGTGGAGAAGGAGGAGACTCGCAATCCTGGTGAGTCTGGGAAGCAGGGGACTACTTCATCGACGAGCCCGACGATCCCTTCTACCGGGGTTGGAGAAAAAGGGAAGGATGGTGGTGTAGAGCAGCTGAAGAGGGAAGATCCCGCTTCGGAACTGATCACCGAGGCCACGTCCCTACTCAAGTCGCTCCGCAGCATGAAGACCTTCAGGCTGAAGCAGGTCAATGTGGTGGGGAATGAGGAGAAACAGGAGTTAGCTTTGCTGGATGGTGGAGCGACTCACCCGTTGAGGATGGCCAGGCCAGAGCGGGGGGTGCTACAGCCGATCACCGTGTAGCTAGCACATGGGAGTACTACATTGTACAAGCATCTGGACTTCGATACCCTATTGGCTCTGGAACCAGTAGAACCAATTCTGCCACTGCATATGCTGGTGGAAAATGGCTACACCATTCACTGGACTGGACAGGAATTGGTGGCGTCGCATCATGCCGGACGCGCCGGAGGACGTGCTGGAGATGATGGTGGGGTTCTCAAGTGAACCGAACCCTGATTTGCTGCCGTGGAATAGACGCCAACGGCGTCGGCACAACCGAAGTAAGGGCTTGGTGATCCACCTGTTTTCAGGAGCAGACACAGGACGATGGAAGGGCACCTTGCCAGATGAGATGGACTGGATCTTCCTGGACTTGGAGTTGGGAAATGGTTTCAACCTGCACAACGTGAATGTATGGAGCTATGTTTGCTCGCTGGCTCGTTCTGGGAGAGTGAAGGCCATTGTGGGAGGTCCTCCCTGCAGGACTACGAGCAGGCTGCGAACTAAGGGGCCTCCAGGACCAAGGCGGGTGAGAGGCCGTGGCTCTGACCGTTGGGGATTGGAGGGGTTGACGGCCCGAGAACGTGAACGAGATTCGGCATTGGTGGTGAAACAAGTGGGACTTTGGCATCTAGCAGATCAACATCGAGAGGGATCTGAGCCAGTTGCCTTCCTCCTGGAATCTTTTCAGGATCCGGCTAGCTATGTGGAAGAGGGGGTTGATGGAGGACATGAACATCCATCGTTTTTTGAGTGGCCTTTGATGGAATGTGCCTGGTGAGCTTCGATCAAGGGAGAACGGGGCATTATTGCAGGCGAAAACCTACGAGTCTGCTCGCAAACCTTCGTCACCTGGAGGACCTGGACGGGCTCAGGGGGGGAGGATCAGCGGACCCGGTGGAAGGAGGACTACAAGAGAGAATGAGGGCCTCTCGTTGATGGACGGATGGTCTGGTCAAGGCTATTGGGTTGGCCTTGAACCTCCGGTTTGGGGGAAGAGCACATGCTGGCTTAGCCAAGATGGACGTGGAGGAGTGGAAGAGACACATCAATCAAGAGCATGTTCCATACAGGAGAGACTGTCGGGACTGTGTGGAAGCGATGGGATTCTCAAGCCCACATCGGCGGTCTAGAAACGCCTCTTCATCATTCGTGATGGCGGTGGACATCATGGGTCCATTCGAATATGGCCGAGATCTTGGACTGAACCAGTGGTGTAAGTATGTGATGGTGGCGACGATCCCGGTGCCGATTGTGAAGGATCTGGCTGGGGCACCAGAGGAACTACTGGACCATGAGGCGGACGTCAAGGATGTGGTGGACATTGAGGACGAGAAGGAGGATGTGGAGCGGCCTTCAGACGAGCAGGTGGCTGAGCTGAACATGAAGGCCTCACTGGAGCGAGCTCAAGAGGAGGTTCCTCTCCAAAACCTCACGATTGCTGAGCCAATGCAATCTCGAGCGGTGGAGGACATCGTGCAGGCTCTCTCGAAGATCCATGCCCACTACAGGATGCTCGGGGTGAGGCCATGTCGGCTCCACTCTGACAGGGAGAAGTCCTTCCTCGCGAAGGCAGTGGCCAGGTGGGTCCAAGCTCGGGAGATGGTTCACACGATGACCTCGGGCGATGATAGCCAATCCAATGGCAGGGTGGAGGCGGAGCTGTTGCAGCTAAAAAGAAGAATGAGGCTCCTACTGCATACAAGTAAGGTGGAAGCTTCACTATGGCCATGTGCATTGAGGCACGCAGCGACTCAACGACTTCGACTACAACTCCAGAGATTGGGAGTGGGTGTGAAGCCAATGGTCAATTTTGGGTCGATGGTCATGGCCAAGTCCAAGAGGTGGCATCACAAAACGGGGGAGCTGACCAACCCGTTCAAGAGGGTACAGGTGCTCGGTCCAAGTCCTTTGATGTCGGCGGGTTGGGTGGCCAAGGACAAGCAGAACAGGATTCAACACCTACGAAGAGTGGTGACACCATCCAAGACACTTGAGGCCATTCTGGAACTGCAGGAGGTGGACCTGAAGGACAAAGGCATCAAATATCGGTTGGTGGGGAAGCAGTCTGCGGACCCGGACCCGCTGAAGGATGTGGTCTCTCGGCATTATGACGCAGTTGCAGCAGCCGGAAAACCAGCTCTTCGAGTTCTACGAGCTGGGGGGGGACAACTAATCCAACGGGTGATCCAATTTTGGATGCAGGGGTACCCGCTCCATTGAATTCGATGTCCCTGCAGCAACCTGGGGAGGACGTGAACGACCTGGAGGAGACCTCCGATCGACCGATGGAGCCTGTGGAAGAAGGAAATCAAGAAGGTAACACTGAAGGGGTGGAGTTGGAAGTCAGTGGTCCTTTGAGGGAGTACCTGCAGGAGCTGGAAAGGGACTTCAGTGGAGGTGGTCTGGAGTTCGTGGACGAGGAGGAAGATATAGAGGAGACGGAGCCGGAATCAGAAGATGGGGAGTCGGGATGGAGGGCATGGGAATGTCTCAGTGAGCTCGCGATGGTGTGCTGTGGAGACTGTGGCCTTCTTCAACCAAGACATCCGCATCAAGCGCCAACGGAGAAGCCCAGAGACCTTCGAGGATGTGGTGTAGTGGTGAGCTCTACGCAAGCTGCAGTGGAAGGTACACTGGACTTGGTGGAGGCTACACGAATTTCTTGTGGGTTCTGTGGGGGCAGCCTGGGGTATGTGGACGATTACCGTGAAAGGTGCACGGGAGGAATTTGGAAGGGTTCCAATTGCTCCTGGGACCAAGCGGAGGAGTGGCATGCTATGGAGGTTAGATCACACTTGCTGATGAAACGGCTTTGGAGTGAGGAGCTTCGACATCAAGCTGTGGGAGAAGAGCCAGGTCGGCAGCGAGGCCGTTGGATGGCTGCGTTGGAGGCGGGATTGCTAGTGCAGGAAGACCACCTGGAGGACCAGCGCCGGAAGTTGGAGCAAGTGCGGTTGGCTGCGCTGAAGAATGAGGCTGGCCTGGAGATCCAAGAGCCGGGAGCCCCTCCACCAATTGTGTTGCAGACTTACGCAGTTCCTCTTCAACAAGTCCGGCAAGAATTAGCTGCTTGGGTGCCTCCAATGACCGACGAGTACCAGTCTTTGATTGAAGGGACGAAGGCCCTGAGCCGGACCACGATGGAGGAGTTGGAGAAGGACCCACTCTTCGAGAAGATGGAGGTTGCGCCAGGAATGTTGGTGCCAACCATCAAGGCGCCTCATGGGAAGAAGCGAGCTCGAATTGTGGTGCGCGGCAATCGACTGGAGGCGATGGGGGGAGGTGGAGGTGATCACCAAGTGAAGGAGGAGCCCCACAACCTCTATGCTGGGGGCGCAGACGGCACCACGATCAGATGTCTTCTTCGAAAGGCCGCGGCCATGAACTGGGAGATTGCGACCTGTGACGTGAAAACTGCCTTCTTGCTAGCTCCCAGGGAGGACTCAGACCGGAAGTTGGTGGTGGCGAAACCGCCCAGAATTTTGGTAGAGGCTGGGATTGTTGGTCCTCGCGAGCTTTGGAGGGTGCAGCATGCACTCTATGGGCTTCGGTCCTCGCCAGCGGATTGGGCCTCGTTCAGAAATAAAATGTTGAGGACCTTTCAATGGCAGCAGGATGAGGTGACGCTGGAGTTGCGAGAGACCCCAGAACCGAATCTGTGGAAGATCATCGAGCGGAAACCGCTGGACCAGGAGGAGCCTCCTCCGAGGGGCTTCGTTGGGGTCTATGTAGATGACTTCATCGTCGTTGGTGCCAAGGACATTGTGAAGGGAGCTTTGAGCAGGATTGAGATGGAAGTGTAGTCCAGCCGATTGGGTGGGCAGTGAGCGGTGGACAAAATTCAGTGGTTTTGAGCTCAGATGGAGTTCGGCGGAGGAAGACAGTGGACTTTATGTGGGACAACAGGCCTACATTCAGGAGCTGCTCAGCCGACATCCTGAGGTCAAGCCGTCAGCTGCGCCTTTTCCCGGAGTGCCCGATGAGGAGCCGGAGACGGAGGTTACACTTGAGCAGGTGAGGAAGGCGCAGGCTTTGGTGGGCGAGCTACTATGGGTGTCAGTGAGGAGTCGACCGGACCTGGCCTTTGGAGCCCACCTGCAGTAGGGAAGATGGGTCAGAAGGAGAACCCAGCTCTGAACCTAGCCGTGAGGGCTCCCGGGATTTCGCGGTATAGAGGTTTGCCATGGTGGAAACACGAAGCGGGCAAGACTTGCGGCACTTGGGCAGGGATCTTCTACGGCGTCAAGGCCACCTCCGGAGATGGATTTGAACTGTCCTTGGACTTGGAGGAGATTTTCTTTACCTTCGCAAGGTCAGGATCGATGGGATCGTCTTCCTGGAGGGTGGTGGGTACGGCACCATGTCAGGCAGAGAAGAAGACCTTTTCATCCAGTTCATCGACGAACCCCCGTAGATTGCAGGCAAATCCAAGATCGGAGAATCACTGTCTTGTGGTGCCATGGGGAAAGGATGATGCGGGACGATGACTGGAGGACCCAAACAGAGCCACCGGTGAAGGACGCCTGGGTGGGTTATACTTTCTTCAGAGAGCTTCGGCCAGAACCAGCGGGGAGTACTTTGAACTCGACCTCAAGTTCATCTACCACCAAGGGGCAAGGAGATCGCACTTCTTCTTCGATGAGCGGCTCAGGAATGTCGGGACCACCGCCAATGCCGGGCATTGCGGAAGATGGACTGCTACCAGATGGGCTGCCCAGAGATGTGAGACAAGGTGGACATGGACTGAGGACTGACTCCCTGGGCTCAGGGTCTGATCAAAGCACGAGCATGACGGAAGGTGTGGAAAGCATGCTGGGAGGATATGCGCAGAGACTTCGAACTCATCTTCATCGAGGAGGAGGGGACGGTTCTGAAGCCTCAGGAGACTCCCGAGAAGTTTCCATGGTGAACGAAGAGGGCGATGTGGGGTTGGACTATGATCCAAGGTACTGGTCGCATGGACCAGGTGGACATGATGGCACAACCCCAAGTGATGATGAGCGAGATGATTGGTTGGGTTTTATGCAGGATCTTGCAGGTGACGAAGGGCGACAGAGTGGGAATCAGCTTTTGGGCAGTGAAGCCAGCAGTGCCGAGAGAACTGATTGGAGGAGATCTTTGGCTAGCGAGGACGAGGATCCACCTTCATTGGATAAGATGAGGGCTCGAGGCTGGACTGTGGTGCGAAACAACTTAGCTCCCCCAAATAAGGAGAGCTATCGAGGACCTGATCGGGATCTCTCATCGGTTGATGACCACGAGCAGGAGACGCCCACTTGGATGGGCATTGCAACGCAGATGCCTGTGAGGCCCCGCGACGCGGTTTTTCTGGAACCTCAAGGGTCCGTGAAGACTCCACGGAGTCAGAGGAAGAAGATAGCCGAAGGTAGAAGAAAAAACCTACCGGAGGCTGGTGGCTTTGGAAAAAAGCCAGGGGGAGTGTGAAATCCACTTCACCCGTTGATCTCATTTTCGACAGGTGCACAAATCAAGAAGTGTACCGCTTTGACACGCTTTTGGCTCAAGAAAACGTCCGACGAACTGGACACGCGCTTTGTCATAACCACAAAAACAAAGGTCAGTGTGCTTTGATGTGTGGAGGCCATCGCTACTAGTAACAAGAAGGTACTAGTAGCGATAGTGTCTTGGCAACTTTGTTCGCGCTGTCTGGTCGAAGGCGTCACCACACATGGCAAGTGTGTGACTCTTGGTCGCACACACTAATACCTTGATGCCCCTAGTAGCTTCTTGTTCCTAGTAGCGATGCCCTTGTTACTAGTAGCTTCTTGCTCCTAGCAGTAATGCCAAGAGCTACTAGTAGCTTCTTGTTGCCACACTAATACCTTGATGCCCCTGCCATCATCACAAGTGACATACTTGAAGTACAACCGACAGACCGAAAACATATGACACATGCAACTCTGACATCGAGATGAAACACATAAAGCATCGTAAAGCCATAAAGCCAAGGACAAGGCCAAGCATAAAGCCAAACCAAAAACCAAGAACAAGGCCATAAACCAGAAAAGGCTGCAAGAAAGAAGAAAAGCAAACAGCGTCGAGTCAAGCAAACAGTGGTCAAGTCAAGTGCCGCAAGTCCGCGAGTCGCACAAGCCGCACAGTTCAGCAATTGGGAACACAAAGTTGTGAACCTTTATGATGTGTTTTTCTGTGTCTAATAGCAATGGCTTCCAACCTAATAGCAGTGTGTGAGCACCGTGTTTGCATAGAAAGATGTGTTATCCCGCCTGGAAACTGGCATCTTGCAGTCTAGCGAGATAGTGTAGAGCATTCAAACAGCCACTTCTAGACAGGAATGGACAGCATCACAACCGACAGTGTTGAAAAGTCACGGAAATCGGTAAAAAAAAGGATAGGACCTGACGTTTGCGCTATCGTTGTGCCAAGCAGCCGCGGCAATCAATGCCATCAGCTACATGTCGTGCCAAAGTTTCTGGAGTTCGACTAGCTTGACGTTGAACTCAAGGGAAACGCATAGCACTAAGATAAATTGTCAATTTACAATAAGCGCTTGCAAAGCATGACTCCGCTTTCTTTATTTTAGACCTTGAAAAGCTTCGTTTCCTGCATTAGATTCTTGTTGTGGACTTTTTTCAAGAGGCAACAAAATGTTGCTTGCTGGTATGTTCTCCAAATGCCTGCGGCGTTCATTGGCACTGTCAGAAAGTCATAGAGGGTCAAGCACATGACATGGAGGGACATCTGGAGGGACGTCACGTGTGCTGATCTTTATTTTGATGTTGGAGCTCTGCGCAAGCTCCTACAAAGTCGCTTCTTGGAAGTGACTAGCGAACTCTGGTGAAACTGGAAAGAGTGCACTGAGGGCACTGGGCATTCGATTGAGCTCCTCACAGGTCGACGGTACCACCAGCAACTTCCTCACTGGACTCAAAAGGCGAGCGAACACCACGGGAGTACCACCTCTCGGAGTCCAAGACATCGCTCTCCGATTTCAGGCCTCGCTAGTAGTAACAAGTGCCTTACTACTAGTAACAAAAAACTATTAGAATTAACTAAATTAACTTAAATTAATTGCTTCTTGTTACTAGTAGTAAGGCACTTGTTACTAGAAGCGATGCACTTGTTACTAGTAGCTTATTGTTTCCGATTCTAGGTTACATTGTGTTTTTTAGGTTGGAGGCCATCGCTATTACTACGTGTTACATTGTGTTTATTGTCTTCTTTAGACCAAGGGATACCTCTCGGAGTGCCGACATCGGTAGGATTCGTCTGCCAAGGAGCAATGCTTGGTGCCGCAGTGCGCCTTGTCCACAAGGATGATCTCACATGAGGACGCCTCGGTGTCGGTCAAACAAGCGCATTGTTTATACTAGCGTCCTTGCTCCTAGTAGCGATGCACTTGTTACTAGTAGCTTCTTGTTCCTACTAGTAAGGCACTTGTTCCTAGTAGCGTCCTTGCTCCTACTACGGCCAGGAGCCCCTGGTAGCGTTCTTGCTCCTAGTGTTATATTCATTTTGAGTGGCCCTAGTAGCGATGGCTCCCTAGTTTCATTTGTCGGTCAACAAAGCGTTCGGGTTCAAAACTCGGTGAAAAGCTGGGCGTTCAAAGCTCGTTCCACCCACCTCACCTGCTTTTCGCGGGCAAGCTAGCCACGCGCCACAAGAGTTTCCACAATCTTGACAAGCGATTGCGCGTGTCGTGCTGAAGGTGCTGATAATGAATCTGAGCAACAGTGAGAAAAGAAGACGAAGAAGGAGAAGAAGAAGAAGAAAAAGAAGAATAGGAAAAGAACCAAAGGAGACCAGGAGGTTGACCACATACCAATTACGGACATGAGGCACGCACAAGTTGAGCTAGCCGTCAAGAAGTGTGTTGCCATCTCCAGAGATGCAAATCAAAACGTTGGTCTCAAGTGCCAAATGCACACAACCGTGTAGCGTGAGGGCACCAGCGTGATAGAAGTGAAGATGCATGCGGAGAGACACGTGGGTGGCTAGGTTGTGAAAGAGTTCAGGAACGTCATGTGGTGCAAGCCACAGCGTGAGCAGGAGACCACGAGTAGGTTGGAGGCCATCGCTTGCATTTACAAAGGTGGTACAGCTACACATAGGAGCAAGGACGCTACTAGGAACAAGTGCATCGCTTCTAGTAACAAGTGCC